TGAAGCTTGATGAGACCAGGACTGTACATATCTACCTCTTAACTGGTAATGGAGCCCAGGACCTTCAGAGCAGTGTTAACCGTCAGCTTGCCTCCTGTCCATTCTGGCAGCGGGATATCCACTTCAGCAAGATCACCAGGGTTTCCGAACCTATCCTGCCCGAGGCAGGGGACAGCCCCTATACAGCTCCTGCACAGTCTAATGCCCTCACACTGCCCCCTAAGCTGGACTTACCAGTGGTCGGGCAAAACATGGATGTGTTTGTGTCGGTTGCATGCCACCCCGGGCACTTTGTGCTGCAGCCGTGGCAGGATCTGTACAAGCTGGTGGTGCTGATGGGAGAAATGATCCTGTTCTACAACAAACAGGAAGTAACCCAAATCAACATTCAGAAGAATAACGTCTACGCTGCCAAGATCGACAACAAGTGAGATTTGAGTGGCACCTCTGATTATACTTCCACAACCTTCTGGGCAACTAAATCATTGTCTCTTTTTTTTCTTTCACTCTTCCTTTGTCTTTTCACCTCTCTTTATTTATAGTTGGCATCGTGTTTTGGTAAAGGGTGTCTTAACCAATGGCTTGGTCTCTGTGTATGAGTTGGATTATGGGAAGTACGAGTTGATCAACTATTCCCAGCTCCAACCTCTCATTGATGAGTTCAGGCAGCTGCCGTTCCAGGGAATTTCTGCTCAGCTGGCTGGTAAGAGAGAAGCTGCAGCCAAATGGAGTTAAAACAAATTATTTAATCCTGATTATTTGTCATCCTTTTACTAATATTTGATATACATCTTTGTCTGAAAGGGTTATTTGTCTTTTAGAATAGCCATATATTTCAGCAAAATGCCTATCGTTGGCAAGTAGATGAAAAATGTTTAAAGTACAGTAAAAATCTAGCAAAACAAGCTTTTTTTTTTACTAAAAGAACACAAGGAATAATATTCAAGTGTTGAATATTATTATATATACACACACACCAGTAGAACACATTACAAAATAACAAATAGTAATATTTCACAGAATTTTTTATTTTTTTTTTTACTAACTAATACCACA